GCAGCGGGTGGGAGCGCGGGCCTCCGGGTTTCCCTTCTCTGATCTCGGGTAACTTCCCCCGCCCTCAGGACATTCAGCACACGGAGGAATTTCTCATCAAGCCCGAGTCTCGGATCGCCCAGCTGGACACGTCTCAGTGGCCCTTGCTGCTGAAGGTAGAGCGGGTTATAGGCAACCTCGTGGCCCGTCCCTGCTCCTTCTTTTGTTCTCTCTCAGTTCAGGCCCGTGGAGATGCACAGCTCTTTCTCTGTGTAACTCTGCTGCTAAGAAACCGCATGCATGACACTCAAAGCAGAGGCAAACCCTCTGTGTGCAGAAATCGTATTATAAAGTTTGTCCAGGGGTATCATTTGCATGCCTGCTTTCTAAGTTTACCGTCTCCTGTAAAGACCCCATCAGATTTCTTAAGATATTTATTTTGGTCTGACCATGGCCTGTGGTCTGCGTAGACTTCTGACTTGCTTGTGCTGAGTTTCTTGGGTACACTGGATTTATCCTGCATTGTGAAGGTTGGTATTCTGCTGCTTTCCTGTCTCTTCCAGTGCAGGACTTCTGTTTCTTTCTCTTTCTGTAAAACATTGTTGTGGTTTTATTGTTGGGCCATTTTCATTTTGGAAGAGGCTCTTTCACTTAAATGTACAAATCAGACATGTAACTGGGGAGATGTATTGGGGCAGAGCAACGTTAAAACCAAGGTGAGCTCAAGAACACTTGTAACTTTTGCTTGGATTTTGTAGAACTTTGACAAGTTAAATGTGATGACGGCACACTACACACCTCTTTCTTCTGGTGCTAATCCACTGAAGAGAGAGATTTCTGACTATGTTAGGTGAGTGCGATAAGGGCCAGAGTGGTTTCTTTTTCTTTCACAGTTAATATCTTCAAAACATTTTCTGTTCTGGATTCCCCTTGTACCTTTCTCCTTGACTCGGTGCCTTGCTGCTAACCAGTAAATGTCTAAATAGGACCTGCTGGTCACTTCCTGTGAAGTTTGCTTTGTTCTGGGGTTGTGGCTGGTCTGTGGACGGACAGGCAAACACTTGAGGAATTCTCTGGGGTCTTGTAGAAAGTCCTTTGGCCTGCTAAGCTTTGAGAGTGCTTGGAGTTTGTTTGTAGCGTTTGGTTTGGTTTAAGTGCAGAGTAGTGATGAGCAGTCTGGGGAGAAGAGAATTCTTTGATCATGGAATATATCACCTGCTGTGCGCAGAGCAGCTTGATGTGTGCTCACTGAGAGCAGCTGTGAGGCTTATCGCTTATTTGGCTGTATAGAAATACATTTTTTCGCAGTCATGACAAATATTGTCAAAGTTTTTGCGCTCTTGCTGTGTTTGCCCTGATGCTTAGCTCCCACTCTTTGTCATCTTGCACTATAGGTCTGGCTTTATTAACCTTGACAAACCTTCCAATCCATCTTCCCACGAGGTGGTTGCATGGATCCGACGCATCCTTCGAGTAGAGAAGACTGGACACAGTGGCACTCTGGATCCTAAGGTGACTGGGTGCCTCATTGTGTGCATTGAGAGGGCAACACGACTGGTCAAATCTCAGCAGAGTGCAGGTACGTTTATTGCCTGGGACTATTTACAGTCTAAGTGACTGGGGAGGTGTAGACTTCTTTTGGAGACAAAATGGAGATTTCCAGTCTTTGAAAGGGCCACCCTTGGTCTTCAGTGCCTTGAGCTTAAGGGTTGCTTCTCCTTCTCACTCCAAGCCAGTGAGGGTGCATCCATGCTGTCAGGTTTTTTTCTTGATTGCTTCTCTGGGACTTGTGCTGTTTTAAGTCAGTGAAAACAATTCTGACAGACTGGTTTCACGTACTAACTGAACTTATGGCCTCAGCCTCTACCAGTCCGGTGAAATAAAACTCCATGAAGAAATAAATGTTGCTGAGGTTTATTTTGTTGAAAGAATAACCAACTCCATAATAAACTGTGCGCACTTCCTAGGAGAGGTGGTTGTGAAAATTTCAGGGCTCTGTGGATGTGTGGCTGTGAAGCAGTGTGGACCTTGAGGGTCAACATTAAATGCAAGTGGCCACTCCTGACTGCTCTTGTCGTTCTTTCAGGCAAAGAGTATGTGGGAATTGTTCGGCTGCACAATGCAATTGAAAGTGAGGCTCAGCTTGCCAGGGTAAGTCTCGGCATGCTCTTAGTCATGCTGGCACTTTACATGCAAAGTGTTCAGCATCGGTGGGAGATGAGAGGGTAGGACTGGAGCTCAGGTGCGCTCTGTGTGTGAGGTGATGACGAAGTTTATCCATTCTCTGAGTGCAGTGGTGCTGCCCTCCTGCAGCACCCCGATTCCTGTTCTAGGGTCTGGGTGCTGTGCAGCCTCCAGAGACCCTCCAGTCTCCCAGTGTCCTACTGGGGGCTGCTGTGGTGTGTGGCTGGCTGCCTGCAGGAGTGAAGTGCTGGCAGGGGAGGGGGCCCTGTTTGGGGGGTTCTGTCCCCACTGAGATGAGGGATGATGTCTGATCACATACTGCCACCTGATGAAAAAGCCCAGCTGTGCTCACTGGCAGCTGGGTAGCATTTTGACCATGTCACTGGTTCAGATTGGCTTTATTAAATATGACATCACCAAATTATGATGAACCTTGTGGTTTCTCACTCATGGAAGTGGTTGTAGTTGCTGGAGACCCCAGGGTGCTCCTACGTTAGGGCACAGGTGCAAACTGTTACTTCTGCTTTACCCTCAGGCAATAGAAACTCTGACAGGTGCACTGTTTCAGCGACCACCCCTCATTGCTGCTGTCAAACGACAACTGAGAGTCAGAACCATCTATGAGAGCAAGCTGGTGGAGTATGATCCTGAGAGACGATTAGGTAAAACAGGGCTTTCCTGCTTTCTTCCTATTAAGCTGACAGCTGATAAAATTTCCTGTGAAATGGGCTGTTTCCTATTCTTGGCAGATGTCTTCAGATACAAATCCTTACCACAATCAAGCAGTAACTGCTTTATGCAGTACTTTGGTGTGCTGAGAAGCAAATCCCATCTATTTTTTGTACTGCTGCATCCTTCATTGAAGAGCCAAATGATGTAAATTAGATGGCATTAGCACTCAGTGCAAAGATGACCTTCATCTATCACCCCAGGCTGATGGCTCTGTGAAGGGTTGGACATACAGCTTCTCTTGGAGGGAGCTTCTAGATGTGGTTCATTTCTAGATATGTATTTAAATACTCTTCTGTCCTGTCCTGCTTTTCAGGTATCTTCTGGGTGAGCTGTGAAGCAGGCACATATATCCGAACACTCTGTGTTCACCTTGGTTTGCTGCTTGGTGTGGGGGGCCAGATGCAAGAGCTCCGCAGAGTGCGCTCGGGCATCCTGGGAGAGAAGGTAGAGTGGTAGCTCTAACTATAACCAGCAAATCTGTAATTGTCAGAATTGAAAGAGTTCCTTTGAACTGTGTTAGTTTTACAGTGTTAGGAGGAAGTATAGGTGCATGGCAGCTGGGAGGAGTTTTGTGACTAGTCCCAAAAACATGGGAGCTTTTGCCATAGGTGGTCTGTAACCAAAGTGTTGAGTTCAGTTCAGGGTGTTGCCCCTGTTCTGGTAATTAAGCTTTGGGACAGTGAGTGACTGGGAAGTGCACCATGGTGACTGAAAGTTTGTTTTATGCCACCTGTGTTTCTCAGCCTACAGACCATGCATGTGCCACAAGTTCAGGCGTGTGAACTGTCTGCTTAGCAGTCCGTGACTGCTTGGTGTCAGGGCACAATGCAAGGAACGTGCTTCACTGAAATGAGCCTGGGAGATGCAGTCTTGTGTGATCTTGAACACTTGTACAGTCTTTTCAGTCTGGTCATAGCTGGATCCTGCTGCCAGTCCAAACTCCAGAACTCAGTTTCTTTCCTTGCAAAGCAGGAATATTGGAGTGCAAGTGCTTCCCCACCCATCTGTGCTCTTACCACAGCTGTAGTCGCTGGCAGTCATTTCTGAATTCCAGGTGTTGGGTGCTTACAGCTGCTTCAAGAATTTATTCCATGTCACAGATTGAAGAGCTGGTTAATTTAGACTTCTACTCACTAATCTTTGTCTGGAAGTCCCAGGTATTTGTTTAAGTTCGGTCATATTTCAAGTTTCGTGTGGACAGACCTTATACACTAGATCCAAGTGCTGTCTGAGATTAGGAAGGTTGAAGTCTGTGGTAGCACAAGTCAGGCTGACCTCAAGCTGTTGATGGAAAGTATTCTTGCCTCTTTTAGGTTGCTTTTTTGATGTTTCTGACTTGGGCATCTGTTTTTCACTCCCTTTCAGCACACTATTTGCTGTTGGACTTCATCTGTTTTCTTGTGTGTGTTTCAAGTTGGTGGCTGGTAGAGTTTAGAGGGGTTGTGTCTTTGCAGGACAACATGGTGACTATGCACGATGTACTGGATGCACAGTGGCAGTATGACAACAACAAGGATGACAGCTACCTGCGAAGAGTTATCCTGCCATTGGAGAAACTGCTGACTTCACACAAGCGGCTAGTCATGAAAGACAGTGCGGTGAGTTCCTGAGATAGTGCCAGTTGACAGCCAGAGACTGCAAAGTGTCCTCCTAACTTGTACAGCTAATATAATAAATTGGGGGATCAGGATCCACGTGGTGTTCAGCGTTGTCCTGATTGTGAGCTGTGTAGGAGCTAGTATGGGCTACTGCCAGGTCAGCAGTAAGATGCAAAAGCCAAGAATTGAGTGGCAGAGAAGCTGCTCTCCTCACTTCAGGAGGATGCTGATGGTTATGAGATCTGCCTCACATGTTTGCTGTGATAGGTGGTTTGCTTTGCTTGCTTTTTCAAAAGCCCCCAAGTTTTGTATAGTGGACAATAAGAAATAGATAAGTAGGGATGTTATTGCTGGGACAGTAATGGCAATGGGAAGCTAAAATATTAGAGGCACTTCTTAGCTTGCTTTTATTCTCTAATAGCTTATAAGCCCTCCTGTTCCCTACATTTTTCAGGTTAATGCCATTTGCTATGGAGCCAAGATCATGCTACCTGGTGTCCTGAGGTATGAAGATGGTATTGAGCTTAATCAGGAGATTGTTGTCATCACCACGAAAGGAGAAGCTATCTGCCTAGGTATGAAACTCCTTGTTGTTCTTGTGCCCAGCTAACTGCAGAAATAATGGACTGCTTTCCAGTGAATGCACAACAAATGGGTCCCCATGCGCAAAAGGTTTAAATAGTGCTTCCTGATGGGGACTGTGGGTTAGTATGGCCCAAGGCAGCTGGTGTTGGGCAGGATGTTAAGAAACAGTGGCTGGATCAGTCCTTGGCAAGGTGTGAAGAGTTCTTCAGCCTGGTTTCAGCTGTGTGATGCTCAGGTGCGCTCTGTGTGTGAGGTGATGACAAAGTTTATCCATTCTCTGAGTGCAGTGGTGCTGCCCTCCTGCAGCACCCTGATTCCTGTTCTAGGGTCTGGGTGCTGTGCAGCCTCCAGAGACCCTCCAGTCTCCCAGTGTCCTACTGGGGGCTGCTGTGGTGTGTGGCTGGCTGCCTGCAGGAGTGAAGTGCTGGCAGGGTTGGAGCCCCTGTTTGGGGGGTTCTGTCCCCACTGAGATGAGGGATGATGTCTGATCACATACACTTCCTGAGCAGGTCAGTGTAAAAGGACTTGAGCAACTACTAGCTTCTGTGAAGTGACTTGAAAGGGTGCTTGTTCTAACCAGGGTCTTCAAAGAAGCTGTGTAGGTGGCAGGTGCTGACATACTGTACAGATGGTCTGTCACAGTGCTCAGTGCTGCACGGCCTCATTCTCTGTCCAGACCCACGGGACTGAGAGGCCTTGGAGGTGTAACACAGCCAAGCTGTTCTTCTCTATTGTTTGTACTGCTTGCACTCTGGTCATCTCGGGGACCTGGCAAGAAAAACTTAATTTATTGGTAGGATTAGTCTCCTCTAGTTTGGCTCTGCAAGGTTTTGGGAGCTGATGAAGGAGCAGCACTGCTCCTTTCTATAGTGGCGTGATTCCTTGAGCTGCCTGGAAGTGCTCCAGCAGCTGCTCAGAGCTCTTCCCCATCCGGTGGTGGTGGTGCTGCTCTGGGAAATGGTTGGTCTTACTGTGTTCGCTGATCCAGAACCAGTCTTCTGGTGTAAGCTGGAGAGGCCTGTGCTTATGGTATGGTTATCCATGACTGATGTGCTTGCTGCCTTTGAGCAGGGCAGCTCTCTGAAGCGTTAGTCCAGAACTTACCTCCAGTGAGCTTTTGGGGTGGGGGAGTGTTGCTCCTCTTTGTGCTGACAGAGGAAGAACAGGCTGAACGCAGCAGGTTCCTGCGTCGCTATTGCAGTTCTGCTGTTAAAGAGTTAATGAACTCTGCCTGCTTCTGCAGCCATTGCCTTGATGACCACAGCAGTCATTTCTACCTGCGACCATGGCATTGTGGCAAAAATCAAGAGAGTGATCATGGAGAGAGACACGTATCCCCGCAAATGGGGTCTCGGTCCCAAGGTGAGTGGCGTGGGGGTGTGGTCAGTCCCAGGGTGGTGGTGAGAGCCCAGCTGTCGGGATGTGGGACTCTGGGCCCATCGGGCAGAGCTGTGCCCGTGTCTTCTCCAGGGCCTCGGTCTAATTCTTCTGTGCTCTCCTGGAGCCACGATGGTGGCGCTTCCCAGTGCCAGGGCTGTGCCAGCCCAGTGCTGGTAGGAGCAAGGCTTTCCCTCCCAGTGGAGCCTGGGCAGCTCTACCTGAGGCCCAGCGGGGGCTACTGCTGGTGCTCAGGCATGGGCTTCTCAGGTCTGTACAGCACCAGCCCTCCTCTGGTGAAGAGCCAAATGATGTGAAGTGGATGGCATTAGCACTCTGTGCAAAGATGACCTTCATCTATCACCCCATACTGATGGCTCTGGAGGGGCTGGGCAAGGACCTGCTTTTCCTTCTGGTGCGACTGCAACAGTGCCAAAATGCAAACTGTCTTGTGAGACACTGAATTATGCCTGAAGGACAGGAGCAGTGGGAACACCTGTTGTTGGGTTCCTCTCCTGTCTCAGGCATGTGGTAGTCACGGAAATCAGCAGGTCAGCAGTGCTAGCTTAACTACAGCCAGGCTGGCATTTCACTGTGGCGAGTGATGCAGCTTGGACTTAAAACTCAGTGTCAAGTTGCTGTGGCTCATTCCATTCCTGTGGTTCAGGTGAAATGTAGAAAGCTGTGGGGATGCATGCACATATATCTCACAGCAAATGTGAGGTAACGCAGGCCAGTTCAAGCATCTTGGAGTCTTTAGCAAAGCCTTGCATTTGCAGCTGGAGTGGTTCAGCTGAAATACGGCAGGTCATTAAACTGGAGAAACCCAGTCAAAGATCTGAGCTCCATGATGTGCAGAGTCATCTTACTCTGCTGCTGTTACTTCCCCCACAAATTAGCCCTTATTTACTGATGAAGATGCCTCCTGTCTGAGTTTTGTAGACTGCTGTGCAGGGCATGTTTTGTGTGATTTGTTAGAAGGTCCTTGAAGAAGTGTTAAATCAGTAATGCTGTATTTGTTGGCTTGGCTTCTTCCTGGATTACCTCCTCTTAGGCTGAGTGGCTGAAGCCCTGGGTAGGATTTCTCCTCCCTGGAGCTGCAGTCTGACTTGTTGCACATTGCTCTCAGGCTAGTCAAAAGAAGATGATGATCCAGAAGGGTCTGCTGGACAAGCATGGAAAGCCCAACGAGAGCACACCGGATTCCTGGAAGAAGGAGTATGTGGATTACAGGTGGGTATAGGGTGTTTGGCTCCCACATGGTGGGCAGAGGACAGCCCCATGCAGCGAGGGCAGGGCTGTGTGCTGCGTTTGTGCTTGGAGCATATTAGGCCTGGCCCAAGGCTGTCCGGACCTGTGGGGTGGGGTGTGGTGGCATTTCTTGTAGTCCCAGGGAATGTGCTGCTAGTGGGCAGCACCGGAGGGAAAGGCTCTGAGCAGACAGTTATCCCTTTCTAGCCTGTGCGTGTGGTTTTAGAGGGAGTCAGTCTGCTAAATTAAATGGGGAAGGCCTTGCTGTTGTCCAGCCCAGCTGGCCCTGATGCAGGCTGCAGGTCTTCCCCACACCAGCCTCCCCACCCAGCGCCTGGCGTGGGTTAAGGAGCCCTTGTGAGGGGGACAGGGCTTTGTACTTGTACAAAGCAGCGTGAGGCAGCAGCTGTCCTGCTCAGCCTGGCAATCTCTTTCAGGGATGCTTCCAAGAAGGAGGCAGCTGCCATTCCCCGAGCTGTTTCAGAGCTGGAGAGGGCTCCAAAAGTGAGTATCGTTAGTGCTCTCTGGCTGTAAGATTGTTTGGGCCCTGATGAAGAGTGGATATGTGCCTGTTCCTTTAGGCGGTTGGTATCAGGTGCTGGATTATGTGCTACTTTGGTTGTTTTACAGGGGGTTGTGTTTCATATTCTGGGAGCCTAGTGCCCCAATGTGCGTTGTGGTTGCGTGGCTAGTTGTAAGGTGACCTGTTTAGGGCCTTACCCCCGGGTGTTTGTCTCTGGGATGTTGTACTTTGGGTGTGAGTCCTGTAGCACAGTATGAGAATGAGCAGCTCTGACTTGTGGTATATGAGCTGCAGCATCCAAGGAAATATGTTGTATGGAGCCACAACGGGGGTTTGTGGTGTCAGAGAACCTTTCTGGACGCTACAGACAGTTGCAGAAATATCCATGCAAGAGTTGCATCTGAAGTTCCCTAAGTCAGGGCTTGTGCCATGATCTAAGGATCTAAGGGCTTGTGCATGCACTTGGAAAGGTGCAGCAGTGTTTCAAACTCTGGAGCGTTTGGGGTATAGGAAACACTGAGAAATACGGGGTGCAATTCTGGCAGAAGCAAATCCTAGACAGTGTATGCTGGAGGGGACCACTGGCAGTCTGTAGCTCACCCTCCTGCTCAAAGCATTGTTAACTGCGAAGTTTGATTGAATCAGGCAAAATAGTTGCAATGGGCTTGCAAACAGTTTTCCCATCACTTGAGCTCCTTCGGAAGATGGCGTGTCTGACAACATGTTCCCCTAACAGAGGAAGCGAGAATCGGAGAGTGAAAGTGAGGAGGCTGTGACCCCACCATCCCCTGCCACCCCACCACCAGAGGAGCTGAGCAAAAAGGAAAAGAAAAAGAAGAAGAAAGAGAAGAAGGCCAAAGAGGCAGCTGAGAGTTGGGGAGAGCAAATAGAAGTGGTATGTAATGGTGCTGCCATGGTACAGTCCAAGCATGGGAGAGATTGCTGTCTGTCCCTAATACCTCCCGGATAAACACATCAGCATCCTGCTGTGCATGTCCCCAAAGTGCCAGGCTCCCCACAGGCAGAGAAAAATGTCTATATAGGTGCATTTGTAAACTGAACTGGTTGAGAGTGGTGGGAGATTGGGCAGGTGAGGCTTGTGGGGTTGGATCTGCAGTGGGGCAGGGATGGGGTGAGCAGCCAGGATGGGGTATACGTTCCTGCCAGGCCACCTCTGTGCTCTGGTGCCCTGTAATGGGCCCCTGTGGGAGGATGGTGCCTAGCATGGTGCTGACAGTCAGTGTGCTTGAGCACTTGTATGGTGTATTGTGGCCATGGGGAGCCTGCACTGCGTCTGGAGTGGGGCTGTTCCTTCTGAAATGAGCAGTGGGGGATTCCTTTTTGATGCCTGCCTGACCTATCCAACCTCTTCACAGACCAGTGAGACCGGCACCAAGAAGAAGAAGAAGAAGAAGAAACAAAAGGAGGTAGAAGAGAGCTCGGAGTAAGCGACCCGATCTGTCCAAAGCAGGCGACCTCGTCAGTAGGGAGGGAGGAGTCTGAGGCCTTGAGAAAAAGAGGACTGGCTGCATGGCAGAGGGGCCAGCAAGTTCCAAGTTCCTTTTCTGCTGTATATATGAGTGAGCGGGTGTGTTTGCCCAGGATACACCCTGCTCAGGTACCCCTCCTCATCCTGTTTTAAGGGTTGCCAGAGGAGTGAGATGCCTGACTGCCCCTGCACTGGATTGTTCTCTAAAGCTGAACACCATGATGCCAATAGAAGTGGTATCTTCAGGGAAGCTGTAGCTCCTGGCTCTTACTTGGTGTCTCTCTTTTCACCTTGAGAGGGAGGAATAACGTTTCTCCCCTCTTGTCCTGCCTCTTTCTTCCTTTTCTTCCAAGGCTGGAGCTGTTATCTGACAGTTGCAGCATGTGTTGGTGTCTGGAGGACTGGCTTTGTCATGGCCCATTTGGATGGGAACAGTCAAATCGTTTATTTGAAGGGCTCTGGTTTGTTTTAATGTGGCCATATGCTTGGCTTGACCCTCAGCTAGATGAGATCAAATAGTCCACGCAGATATTCTTCAGTATTTTTTTTTTTTAACTTTACCATAAAA